AGGTGAAACGTCTTCAAGCAACTTAAAGAAGTCCAGACGCTTTTCTTTGCAAGCTCCTTTGACTACGATGACCTGGATGACTGAGAACCTTCACAGACATCTGAATCACCAGTTAAACTAACAAGCAGGTTTTTGGACAGACTTCACAGAAAGGCTTTCACTGACCAGGAAGTTTCAGCCCAGAACCTTCTTATAATAAGTCGACAATGATGACCACTGTATCAACCTGATTCCACCATAAGTACTGACATTTATTTCTTCTCGAGAAAGAGGAATCACAGAAAACTTTCTGGAAAACTGCAGTCCTCAAAGGATGAAAATGTTAAAAATTTTTTTTTACAAATTTTGATTGAAAAATGTACCTTAGAGGAAATCTTACTATCAGAGTCCTAAATGTCAATTTGTTTTCTTAGTGAGGAAGATAATATAGGTCATATTATGTTTTTAAACGTCATGGAGCCAAGATGAGGTTTTACTTATCAATAGTCACTGAATCACCAGCACAGAGTCAAAGTCGGGCTCTCCTCTAAGTGACCTGTGATAAGTTTATAACCATAAATAGAAGACAAGATGAAGATGAAAAGTACCTTTCATATTTCTGATTGACTGACCAGAACAGCACAGTAACACTGTGTGCTAAAAATGTAACACAAAAAAGAAAAATAACATTTTATCTTCATTTGCTCTGCTCAGGGAGAGACAGCAGCTGTCTGCAATCATGAAGCAGGCAGACCCAAAGAAAGATGATATTATAGACCAACATATGTAGAAATACTGACAGACATGTTGAAACCTGCTTTTGTGAAAATTGTTTGACTTACATTTCACAACAATAGTGATGGGTTTAAGTGTTGACCCCAGCTTGTTCACAGCTCTACAGTAATACTCTCCAGAGTCAGAGGACTGGATGGAGTTGAAGATGAGCTGTGGGTTTTTGCTGAGTGCTTGGCTGTTCCTCTTGTACCAGACAAACGTAGCTGCTGGGTTAGCATCACTGCTACAGGTCAGAGTCACTGCAGTGCCCTCTGTGATTTCACCAGACGGACTCACTGACACAGAGGGAGGCTTTGGATCATCTGGAGGAAACACAGGCAGACAACAGCATGTTTATTAGTTCCTTCAAAAGTTGAATTATTAAACAGATCAAACAACTCAACAAATCTAATGCTACAGGAGCTTCTCAGTGAGGAGACATGAAGGGAATTTTCAAACATTTTTCTTAAAAAATGTACCCACATTTGACATCAATGGAGGTATATTCAGATTTCTTCCTCCCCACTTTGTTCTGAACTGTACAGTAATACTCTCCAGAGTCAGAGGGCTGAATGGAGCTGAAGGAGAGCTGCTGTTCACTACTGAGAGGCTTTTGTCCATTCTTCTTGTACCAGGAGTATTGAGCTGCTGGATTAGCATCACTGCTACAGATCAGAGTCACTGATCCGCCCTCCCTGAATTCATTAGAAGGGCTCACCATCACTGACACAAACTTTGGAGCATCTGTGAGAAAAAACAATTGTGCAAATTATCCCTAATTTGTTAAAATGATGAGGAATTTATAAAGTGTAACAGCTTGAAGTTTTGTACAGTAGTTGACCCTATTTTTTTTCTTCTAAACAAAGGTATAAGGCTGTAGAATTACTATAGAAATGTGACAAAGTTTTATGAAAGTTGATGGAGTATATAAAAAATTAAATAAAAATAAATCTTCTGAAGAGAGATTAAATCTCACTGTCATAGAGAGAAGTTATTGATGGATCTGAGGGAAATATATGAAATTATTTCCACTCACAGTTCACATTAATAGAAACATATTCAGATGTCGTCCCCACTGTATTAGCAGCTATACAGTAATACTGTCCAGAGTCAGAGGGCTGGATGGATCTGAAGACAAGCTGTGGTTCTTTACTGAGAGGTATCCTTCCATTTGTCTTGTACCAGACAAACGTAGCTGCTGGGTTAGCATCACTGCTACAGGTCAGAGTGACTGAAGTGCCCTCTTTGATTTCACCAGAGGGACGCACTGACACAGAGGGAGGCTTTGGAGCATCTGCAGGAGAAAGCAAAGAAAAATGACAGCATTGTATCTTGTTTTTTAAAGATCCCCTCCGCATATCACTACCTTATGGTGGTAGAGGGGTTTATGTGTCCCAGGGAACCCAGGGGCTATGTTGTCCAGGGGCTTCTGCCCCCTGGTAGGGTCTCCCATGGCAAAATGGTCCTTGGTGAAGGACTAGACAAAGAGCGATTTAGAAGTTCACCCTGCCCAGTATAGGGTTACCGGGGCCCCGTCCTGGAGCCAGGCCTGGGGAAGCTGCCCAAAGGCGAGTGTATGGTGGCCGGGCCTTAGTCCACAGGGCTGAGCCGGGCACAGCCCAAAAGAGAGACATGGGCCCATCCTCCTGCAGGCCCACCACCTGCAGGAGACGCCGTAGGGGTCGGGTGCATTTTGTGCCAGCAGCAGCCAGGAGCAGAGGTCCTGGCAGACCGATCCACTGGGAACGCTGGAGAGGCCCCAGTCCACGAGATCTTCAACACACAGAGCTCTACTTGCATTGTGTATAGTGCGAGTGAAGCGCTGCTGACTTGAACTGAGAAAATTGTTGGGTGGTGGAAGGAATACTTCTAGGACCTCCTTAATCCCACTGGCACGTCTTTTGTTGAGGAAGCAGAGTCTGGGAATGAGGGGGATGACTCGCCAATCTCTATGGGCGAGATAACTGAGGCAGTTAAACAACTCCTCGGTGGCAGAGCCCCTGCAGTAAATGAAGTCTTCCCTGAGTTCCTAAAGGCTCTGGATGCTGTCCAGGGCTGTCCAGGTTGACACGTCTCTACAATGTTGCATGGAGGTTGGATTGACAGACTGGGGTGGTGGTTCCCATCTTCAAGAAAGGGGACCGGAGGGTGTGATGGTTGAATTATTGATCAGATTAAAGACAAAAGCTTAGCCACATTATGATTTGATGAAAAAATGAAACAAATTACCACAATATCTAAAAAAGGGTCTATGGACAATGTGAATCAAAATGAATGTAATGATTTGCAAATTTCAAACACTGGCACTCATGAGCTGAAGGTTTCCTAAACGACCTGTTTTACTCACATTTCACATCAACAGAAATGTTTGTAGGTGTTGATGTTCCCAGCCTGTTCTCAGCTGTACAGTAATACTCTCCAGAGTCAGCAGGCTGGATGGAGCTGAAGGAGAGCTGTGAATCTGTACTGACAGGTGTTTGATTGTTCAGCTTGTACCAGACATACGTAGCTGCTGGGTTAGCATCGCTGCTACAGGTCAGAGTCACTGAAGTGCCCTCTGTGATTTCACCAGGAGAACTCACTGACACAGAGGGAGGCTTTGGAGCATCTGCAGGAGAAAACACAAGGAGGTAACTGTAGTATGAATTTCTGATCAAATCAACTAACTGTGTAAGTGTACATAGACAGGACAGAAGAGTTCTGGATGGTGTTAGCACGAATGTTAACGTCCTCAGACGCAAGATAAGACAAGATAAGATAAGATAAGATAAGATAAGATAACCTTTTCAGTCCCATACGTGGGAAATTTGTTTGTTACAGCAGAAAGTTGACAGTGCAAAGTTACATAGCAAAAATTAGAAAAACACTGGAATAGGATAAGAATAAGAATAAGATACTATACACAACTGTACACAGTAGAATATAACAAATTAAAACACTATATACAGTAGACTAAAATAGAATAAAAATACTACAACTGAGTAAAATACAACTTCGTCAGAGAAAGAGTATTGCACTCAGTATTTTTGTTATTGCACATGTGTGGATATGTGTGTCTGGTCAGTTGCAAAGTCTTTGTTGTCGAGTCTGACAGCAGACTTATGGCATTTCCATAACTTATATCACAGTTTACTTCACTAATTGTAAACAAGAAATTATGAGAACAAAAAAAAATGCTGTTATGAAAATTGTTTGACTTACATTTCACATCAATAGTGATGGATTTAAGTGTTGACCCCAGCTTGTTCACAGCTCTGCAGTAATACTCTCCAGAGTCAGAGGACTGGATGGAGCTGAAGATGAGCTGTGGGTTTTTGCTGAGTGCTTGGCTGTTCTTCTTGTACCAGACAAACGTAGCTGCTGGGTTAGCTTCACTGCTACAGGTCAGAGTCACTGCAGTGCCCTCTGTGATTTCACCAGACGGACTCACTGACACAGAGGGAGACTTTGGGTTGTCTGGAGGAAACACAGGGAGACAACAGCATGTTTATTGGTTCCTTCAAAGGTTGAATTATTAAACAGATCAAACAACTCAATGAACCTGATGCTACAGGAGCTTCTCAGTGAGGAGATTTGGATGGTGTTATCAGAGAGATGTTCCCATCTACACTATGACTTTAAGATTTGATGAAATTGGACTATTTACATGATTCAGCAGATGTGGATGTGCACTGAAATGTTTATAAGTTGGCATGCAAGAAAAAAACTAATGAAGAAAATTGAATTTATCCTTTTTGAAGAAGTTACATCTGTAAAAGGTGTAAAAGGTTAATATACTGAAAGGTACATTTTGAAAAATCACAACGTTTTTATCATTTCACTACTTGATGGAAGTCAATGATCATGATTACCTGATATGTGAAATAATTTTGTGCATTGATTTCAAAGGGAATATGTGGCATATAAAAATGCAATAAATGGAGCAGTTCAGTGATCGACAGTAGCTGAAATGAATTATGAAGCAGACAGAGATTAACAAAGCAAATGTTTGAGGTTAATCAATTTTAATTATACATGAAGGGATTTTAGAAAGTTTTTCTTAAAACAAATGAACTTTTTCACCCACATTTGACATCAATGGAGGTATATTCAGATTTCTTCCTCCCCACTTTGTTCTGAGCTGTACAGTAATACTCTCCAGAGTCAGAGG